CCTGTGTCTTTATGAAGAGCCACACACAGCAGCCGGGGGACTGCCCTGCCAGAACCGGCCCAGAATTCCTGCTGGATTCCGTGTGTCAGGACCACCCATTCTAGTAGAAGAGCGGAAAGCCCAGAGGGGCAAATCACATGCCTAGGAAGCAAAGAGGGATCCCTGGCCCAGGGCCGCCTGCGGGGTGAGAGGGCTGAGGCTGGGGTCTGCTGTTACTAGAGCTGAAACCTACGGACCTACCCAGCTCCCGTTTTTGCCACTGGGGAGACCCACAGGGAGGACCTGGGGGGACCGTCAGCCTTGGGTGTTGGTTGCCACATCTGCACGTGACAGGAGAAACATGTCATTCCAGGAGGACAGGAGGGCAGAGCAGCTAAGGGGGGCTCCCCAGATATAGGGGCATCCCGGGTATCCACCCCTGTCCTTTGGAGGCAAGAGAAGGGGCTGCACCCCTGGGTTTGACAGGCAGCAGCCACCTTCCAGAGGGAGAGCTGGCGGGGCCTTAGCACACCCCCTTCAGAGTAGCCCCCTCCCCCCACCACTGCCCTGGACTCTGCGGCCAGCAGGCTGGAGGTTCCTAACGCTATGGGGGACAGAAGGCTGTGGCTGGCTGAGGACTTTATGTCAAGTTCCCACTGCCTCTGGGGACTGGGGACAGCCAGGCCACACGCGGGGGCAGTGGGACTTAGCACCTGAGCCTGCTGAGCTCCGGAGAGCCCTGGAGGTTCTTGGTTCCCCGAGGTGGGGCAGGGAGGAGGGAGTCCCTGGTGTGGCCTGGTTCTGCTAGGAGGATCACTGAACACCCCCTTCCCTGATGAAGAGGCGAGAGCTGCTTCGGGAAGAACCACCTGCCCTCACCCCATTAGGTCTGGGACAGGCAGGGCACTGGCCTGCTGGATGCCCCCACCCCTGTGCCTGCAGCCCTGCTCTGCGCCCGGCTCCCTTACTCCACCTCTTTCCACCTCCTCCCCTTCCTCCTCCTCCCAAAGAGGAGGCAGATGGTGGTGGAAACTCTGCTTCCTTCATTTTCCGGAGCGTGACTCAGCACCGCAGCTGCCGCCTCAGCCCCCACACAGCAGCACGAAGCCTGCCCTCCCCTACAGTGGAGCCCGGGGGCTCCCCAGAGCACCCCTCCTGCAATCCATCTGGACAACGCAGGGCTGCGGGCTGCCGAGCCACCTTCCCCGGCCCCCAGCCCAGCGGACCCCTCATAGGCAGCTAATTTCCCGCGAGACGGCAGAGGGCGGAGTGCAGGCAGGTGGGCGGGGCTGCAGTTCCAGATCTCAGGGACACACAGAGGCGACCACAGGGCTTCTTAGCTTCTGGGTGGCCACCCTGCCCAGGAGACTGGGCTGAGCGAAGGGGAGGGGAAGGCCTAGGTGGGACCCCAAGAAAGGACCCATCAGAAAACACAAGGCGGTAGGAAAATAAGAGAAATTTCCAGAAGCAAGAGGCTTGGCCCATGTGGAATACCACAGAGCCAGGCCTCAACCCACCGGGGAATCTCTGAGGACACTGACAGCAGCCCACCAACATGGCCCCAGGTCCTGCTCTGAGCTCCGGTCGGCCCTCCTCCTGCCTCTATCAGAGCCTCCCCTGGGAGCCCCAGAGATCCTTTCAGTTCCTTCTCTCGGACAAACGAACCCTCCCTGCTGGGAGCCCCTGGTGGCTCCTCCCACTCCCCCCACTCGGCTCCCTCTCTCTGCCTCGCTCCCTTTGCGGTAGGCTTGGCCCAGGAGAGTCCTGGCACCCCCAGCTGCTCTGTAAGCCCCTGGGGGTGGCCAACGGGGGTCGGCTCCCCACTCTTGCCTGGCCGTAATCCCGGAGCTGTGCCTCGGGATGTGGGCACACAATTGTGCACACGCACATCATCTCGGCAACTGGGGTCTCCTGACAGTCCCCTTCCCAACCCCCAAAACAAGACCTGCCAGTGCCCCCACCCCTTCTTCTCCCTTCTATCCCCCTCCCCACAGCCCTAGGTACGGCTGCAGAAACTGAGGCTCAAAGGGGTCAAGTCCCTTCACTCTACATGGTAGAGCTTGGGTGGTCAGAGACCCCAGACCCCAGTTGAAGGCTCCTGCCCTGACATGGGAAGCCCCTCCTGTGGAGCCTGAGCAGGTGCCCAGGACCAGACGGGCCAGCCCAGGTGGGAGGCTTCCTGCCAGGAGGCCCTAAGGGTGACCTGGCCAGGGACACCAGTGCTCACAGGTCCGGTTGGTCCCAGCCCCAGTTCACCCTCTGTTTGCTAGCAGTGGCCCCTCTACTGTCCCCCAGGACTCCCGACAGCTCTGCACAGAGGCCTCATCCCCACCCAGCTGGGCAGACTCCGACCTTGCCACTGGGTTCCTTCCCAGTCTCCAGCCACTCCCCTCTTGCAGCTTCAGTTTCTGCATCTACAGCTTGGGAGTAATGAGATTCCCCAGCCGGCCCGCTGGGAGGGCTGGGCATCCTGGGGGAGAAGGGGAAAGAAATGCCAGGAGCTGGGTGGAGCCAGGTCAGGGAGGCATGGGCCCAGCCCTAGCCCCAGCAGCCACTCTGTGGGCCCAAGCCAGCCCCGGGCCCTGGGCTTGTCCATCTGTAAGCAGGGTGATGGCACTGCTGGGCGAAGTGGCTGAGGGTGGGCCCAGCCCAGCTGCCCTCCCTAGGTGCCCATCAGGCCCAGCACTGGGGCAGGGCACCCGGCCCAAACCACATGGATGGGGAAAAACCTCCAGCTGGGCTGCCCCGACAGGGACGGAGGCAAACAGGGCTCCCAGGATTCCAGGGCCAGCACAGCTCTGTGGCTCCCATAGTATCAACTCCAGGCCCCAAAAAGGACTGCGGGGGACCAGGCTGCTCCTGGGAGACCCCAGATGTCCTGGCTCTTCTCTAGGGGATCTTGGGCTGAACAGAGGACTGAGGCCCCAGAGGAAGGCAACACAGGGTCAAGACGGGCTCCTGAGGGTCCCCAATCATTTGTAAATTACGTCTGCCCTCTGCAAAGAGTGAATGCTGATTCCCTGGCCTCTACCCAAATATATGCACTCTCTCAGGTTCACGCTTACGCATCCCCTTACCATTCGGCAGATCCCACCGGCTCTGCCCCAGCTCACCCCCTCCGCCTGGCCGTACCATCCTCTGCCGCTCACCAAGGGGGACCCTCCAATCCACTCCCGTGAATCAGGGTCCCCAAGCTGCACTCAAGGCCTCTGTCACCTTTCCTTGCTTGTGGAACAAACCCACCCTCCTTCTTCTGACTCTCACTCCTCCCACCTCAGTGTGTGCAGAGGAGCCTTCCCTGCACACAGCTGAAGCGGCCCCGTGGCCCCCTACCCTGGACTTTGGCCAGGCCATTGACCAGGCTGCTGCCTCCCAACCATGCCTTGGCATCTGGGTCATTTTTATTGATGGTAGTTTGGCCTGGCTTGTGGGCTTCACACACACCTCCCATCCAGCAGCCCTAGGAGGTGGGACTGTTATCACCACCCCATCTCAGCAGACAGCACTGTAGCAGAACAAGCCACAGACCAAACTCCTCAGACACCGAGTTAGAGAAGGAAGGGGTTTATTTGGCCGGGGGCATCGGCAAGACTTCTGTCTCAAGAGCCGAGCTCCCCGAGTGAGCAATTCCTGTCCCTTTTAAGGGCTCACAACTCTAAGGGGGTGCGTGTGAGGGGGTCGTGATTGAGCAAGCAGGGGGTACGTGACTGGGGGCTGCACGCACCGGTAATTAGATCGGAACAAAACAAGATCGGGATGTTCACAGTGCATTCCTATACAATGTCTGTAATCTATAGACAACAGAACCAATTAGGCCAGGGGTCGATCTTTAACTACCAGGCCCAGGGTGCAGCGCTGGGCTGTCTGCCTGTGGATTTCACTTCTGCCTTTTAGTTTTTACTTCTTCTTTCTTTGGAGGCAGAAATTGGGCATAAGGCGATACGAGGGATGGCCTCTTCCCTTAGCACAAGCAGCAGAGCCAGGGCCCAGATCGGCCCAGCCACAGTACCCTCCCGCTGTACCACGGGACTGCGCTGTTCACAGGGCCACTCCTGCCCTCTGAGGAGTCCCTCCAGGTAGGCCAGGCCAGGCCAGGCCTGTGCTTTGGAATGCAGCCCACGCAGGGCTCCCTGCTGCTCAGGGCAGGGCGGTGGTCCAACAGCTCCCACCCCCCAGGGCCTATGCACCCACAATGCCCAACCTGCCCAGAACCCCCCAGGTCCAGGAACCACCACTGGGAGGTTGGCAATGACTCAGGCCTTGAGTCAGCAGCATCAGATGAGGACGCAGCCAGCCCTCTGCCAGCGTAAGGGAGCCCCAAAAAGCCCCGAGCTCTGCTAGCTGGGCTTGCGGGGACCCCTGACTGGAAACGAATCAGGTTCATCAGCGCCCAGGAGCCACCTCCCAGGGAAAATTCACGTGCACACGCACACACGCACACGCACACGCACACGCACACGCGTGCACACAGAGGAGGCCTGACATCAGGGTGGGTGGGGCTGACTAACACCAACCCAGAGAAGAGAAACCAGAGATGGTGGGGCGCAGTGGGCAGTGAGGTGGGGTCTCAGCTGGAGGGGCTCACTCAGACTGTGGAGCACCCATGTGCCTCCTAAACAGAAACTCCACACAGGCCAAGGAAACAGAGCTACCAGCTGACTCACTCTCCCAGCAAACACCAGCTCCTCCCCGAGCCAGGCCCTGGAAGAGAAGTCGACATCACGAGCTACCATCTGGGGGGTGGCACCAGGCTGCGAAGGAGCCACAGACTGGCACATGCAGGAGGAAATGGGACGGGGGAGGGGTAAGGCCCCCAACAAGCAGGAGCAGGGAAGGGCCCTCCCAGCGCCCCACTGTAACGGGGCCTCATCAATGTCCTGTGCTCACTGAATAAAGCACTGCCAATGAAAGGTGAAAGAGGAACAAGAACATTCTCCTGGACGCCACCCACAGAAAGCCGTGTGCAGGCTTGGCCCTCACCTTGGGGACCTTGGACACAGAACTGGTTGTGTCACATCTGGAGGCCTGATGTAGAAGGCACTCGGCTAAGCCCTAGTTACTGGCACTCGGGCACCTGCGCCCCCTCTCAGCAAACTCCATGTCTCATGAAATTAGGACTGGATTTCCACTTTATTTTGAAAATATGGCCAAGGTAAGAGGTCAGGAACGACAAGGCCAAGCTGGGGTAGCCAAGAAAGCTGAGGAGACATGGGGACGGAGGAGTGGCTGCAAGCGTCTGAGTGCAGGAGGCACAGACACCGAAGGCCCCGGACACCGGAGGGCAGCATGCTGGTGCGGAGCAGGGACAACCTGGGGTTTACTCTAAGGCACCCCTGGAGAGGCAGGGTGGGTGGGGCAGGTGAGGATGGGGGTTGGAGCCCATGACATCCCCTCGGTTGCTCAGCATGGCTGACGCCTGGCCACACTGGGCCTGGAACTCAAAGTCTAACTGGGGAGCCAGGCAGGGAGCCAGACAGGAAACCAGATGCATGCAAGTGGAGATTCCAGGCTGAGGCGCTGTGGGAAGGAGGGAAGCTGTCACTCTCCCAAGGCGGAAAGTGGGAGCGGCTGGGAGTCTCCAGGGAGGGGAGGAGGGCCTGGAGGAGTTCCCTGGGGTGGGGGTCCCAGAAGAGCCAGCAGCCTGTGCAGTGGCATGGGAAAGATCCCAGTGTCTGGCGAGGAGTTGGCACAGCCTGTGTATGTGGAGTTAGATGGGGTTTGGGGTTTGGGGTTATTTTTAACCCGTAAGTCTCCCCATTATTCTACAGGAGAAAGGGAATGCGTGCTGGGCACTCAGGAAGATGCGGACAGGAGGCACCAGTGTGGGGAGGGACAGGGAGGGCCTGGGGGCTGGGTCAGAGCCTTGCCCAGGGGCTTTAGGAAGGAAGCGCTGGCTTTCCCACCTCCCCTCTGGAATCTGTCCCCTGTCATCCTGGAAGAGCTCAGGAGCAAATGGATTCCATTCCATTAAAAAAGCATGGTGCCTGGGGCTAAGCAAAGCTGAGACTGGCAGATAAGGTGCCCCAGATGAGCAGTGGGGCGTGGAGCAGGCCCAGGAGGCAGGAGCGCGGCAGGGAGCAGGGACAGTCATCCGGCCTTCGGGATGGGCAGCACCCCTGGAGGAACGGGGAAGCCAGAGCGGGATGCCTGGCCTGCAGGCCAGGTGAGGGGAGAACGCAGGCCAGAATCCAGCCATAACCTAGCAGCAGGTCCCATCAAGGTGAGAAGAAAGTCTGATCTACTCCCAAGCTAGCAGTGAAACTAGGAGGTTCTGTAAGAACTGGGGAATTATTTACCCTAACTCAGGAATGCTGACTGTGAAACCAAGCCCTCACCTAGGGGAAGGGCCACCCCAGCAGTGGCCACTCCTGAAATCCTCACCTCCCTCCCAGACAAGTCTAGCCTCCAGGATGGAAGAAAGTCAGCCAACCCTAGGATTATCGTGTCTGGGTTGAACTGAGGAGTCATCTGTGCGTTCAACCTGTGCTAGTGGCTGGGGCCTCCACAATGTTGGGTGTGCCTGGGATAACTCAGAGTAACGCGGTCAGACGGCACTCAGGGCCAGGCTGGAAGAGTGCTGCCCTTCCCTGGGCCTCAGCGTCCTCTGTAAAGTGGGGGTCCCCGTGCCCACCGCACACGGCAGTGAGGATGGAAGGAGGCCCGGCGTGCTGAGCCCTGGCACTTGCAGCTGGCACCTGGACATGTAGGGAACCTGCTTCCGTGGTTATTATCGTTGCTGTTACAGATCCGTCCACGTGTGGCTGACTCAGAGCTGTGACATTAAGGGAAAATAAAGGAAATGGTTGAGCTGCCTTTTCAGACAACACTGGAATTTTTGAAGAACTCAAGAATCAGTATACTGAAAGGTTTGTGCCGTGAAGTCGCTGCTTGTGAAGCCTGTGTGCATCCCAAGTGCTGACAAGGACAATGGAAGACACGTCATTGATAAGCTCCTTTAAAAGGCCAGAGAGGCCCCTCGAAAGGGACTGGTAGATGAAAAAGATTGGTAAAATAAACCCAAACATTTGGGGGGGAAAAGGTGATTTTATTATTTTTTATTTTACTTTATTTTATTTTTTGAGACAAGGTATCGCTCTGTCACCCAGGCTGGAGTGCAGTGGCATGATCTTGGCTCACTGCAGCCCCGGCTTCCCAGGTTCAAGCGATCTTCGTGCCTCAGCCTCCCAAGTAGCTAGGACTACAGACACACGCCATGAAGCCTGGCTAATTTTCATATTTTTTATAGAGACAGGGTTTCCCCATGTT